CAAATGCTGTGACTGGTCAAGGCCCATCCCCTAACCACCAACCTTTGATCATCCATCGCCACGCAGTGGTACGCCTTACAACGCCCACGCGATGATCGCGGAATCTTCTTAATATCCAAAAATCGTCTCTAGCTAGAATGTTAGTATTATATAATCGCGATCAAATCAATACTCGTAGCTACATGACTTCAAAGTTTCTCAAATAGGAACAGCGAGACTCTTCACTTTCAAGCTTCCGTTCTCCCTCCAAACTCGTAAACCCACCGGCCAACATCAAAACCATTCCTTTTCACGATTCATCGGGAACACTGCTCTTCTTGGAAACTAACTGTTCTTACCTGCCTTCGGTTGGAAAATACGAAATATTTTGCTTTGAAGTCGTCCTTGGTGTAATTCGATTTATACGCGTGGCCCATCAGATCCTCCATAGCATGGCCGACCTTCGAAAAAGAATTTAAGTATTAGTCCGTTTCGCTGATCTTTAAGGTTACTCGAGCAGCAGAAGGAGCTAGTCCTTCTGCTACTCAAGGGGTGCGGAAGGGACGAACTCATGAGCGGAAGGGTGCGTACAATTGTTTTGTCTTCAACAGTGCTCTCCTCCTTTCTAGAACGCTTCAACAGAAATCACAAATGGTTATCAGTCTCTGCCCAAATGATTGTTGTGGAAAGTGCTACGTTTGGTAAGGAAAAATTTTCTATTCTATCGTTGGTGTGTTCTATGCCGGCTGTGAAGCGAATTCAGGGATTTTGTAGGAAACTGGGCTGGCTTAAATACAGCAACAAAGAACGCTATAACTTTGACACTGATTTAACCACTGGCGGTTGTGAAGACACTGCTAATGGGAGTATCTCTCGTGATCGGAGCTATGTATACCCCGTCTCGCTATTATGATAGGTCGGAGGACCTAAACGCTTATAAGGACGTGAACCTTCTGGGAGGAAGAATAGATTCAGTGAGAAGCGTACCTCTGTCAACCTTATTCTGTGATGTTTCTTTGACGTGATCCCCATTTTGGAGCGGAGCGTATGAGGGGGCCCTTTGTCCTACAAGGTATAGTTTGCTCTCTGACGGCGATACATAACGGTTGGTACGTAGTACCGTGTTATAGAGGTGCTCCAGACGACCATAGGTCAGGAATCTATTCATGGAAACACCGTTTTCAAGCAACAGTTGAACGAAATCTGTTCGGTCATTGGCATAAAGCGTTGCCCAATCATCTGCGTTGTGAAGATCTGGGTAGCTCCATGTCCTCAAAAGAAGTTAATCGTGACCAAACTGAACATTTTTCGATTGAATTACCACTAACCGTTCTAACCGTCCCTAAGTGTGAAAATTTCCGATCGAGCAATATCAGCACGATTCCATGCCAACGCCAACTGCAGTTGTTCAGGTGAACTGAGGTTTTGGCCTTTCAATAGAGCTGTGAGAATTGCATGATCGACTTCCTGACGTTGTTCCCCGAGACGGAATACGGTCATCTGAAACAAACACAGTAAAAAACGCTTGAATATCATGTTGTTTACGAACTTCATAAAGAAGGCCTTGTTCGGCTGACATCTTGGAAGAAGGAAAAGAGAAAGAACACTAGGGAAGAGGAAGAATTGCAGTGTGAGGTACCTTGAGGGAGAATACCTTGAGTTGAACCGGTTCATAGTCCGGGTACAGTGCAATTGACTCAACAGCGACTTGCACCAGCATTTGACTAATATAACTCGAAAGTGCTCGTTCAACTGGCTGGTTTCTGTGCGTGGCGAGGACATGAATCTCGACTGGAGTGCGCCGTACGTTGCGGACACCCGAACCCCGTGTGGTACGACTAGACCGATCGTGGAAGAAATTGCATTCGGCCCGGCAAGTAAATTCCTTGATAGCTGATCTTACCGTTTCACCCCACTCGCCGCCTGGCGCACTTTTATCAGGTGCAGGGTAGGCGCCAATTCGGGCAAATGTTCCCCAACAAAGCACCACTGCATAGTCAACGAAAAGAAGATAGAGGTTAATGCGATTTTGAATCCGTTCCTATCCGCAGATTATCCAAGAAAGGATGAAACGCTCACCAAATTCCTCTGACGGGCGCAGTCGATCAGTTGACGGACGATTCGAGCGGCATTCTTCTCATCGTAATTGAATACCATCTCTACCAAAGACATCAGTTGGTTGCGGACTGAGTCGGTCAGTTTTCTGAAAAGACCATGACAAAATGCCCCATCACAAGTAAAATGCAAGGCGGTGGCTGGATGCGTTTCGACATATCATTTCGACACAAACTTCTTTCATGCGGAAAATTTCACAGTCAGATGAAAACTACTACCATAACCTACGCCGTTCCAGGTGCCCTCCCAACCTGGCGGCGCGCAGTTCGTTGGGAAAGCAGATCAATGTGCTGAATGGTGCATCACGCGGGTAGTATTGTAAGCGGTATGATATTTCGATCAAAAGGACTTCACATCTAAGAAACTGAACAATTCGCCAATCTTCGGGTGCGCAGGATACGGTAGCTGCGATTCTTCAGGCTGCAAAATATTGTTATTCTATCTCAGTTAGTCAACAAATTTTGTTGAAGATGTTGCAATTACTGTACCCGTCGTCTCCAATCGCATGATGTGTGAAAGCCAGTAGATCAGCCGCTCGTCCGCTTCCATCACAAATCACAACAGGAATCCGTGGTGTACTGTAACAGAATATTTGGGGGTATGAAAATGTACAAAATTGTCTATGCTCATTAGAGCTCCAGTGAAAGGTAGAAGAAATCAACCAGTAATTTAAGGATGAGGAACCTACGATGTGATATAGTCGTGAACGACTTTGATTGTGAACGCTCCACCCTCCAACACCACACAAACGACCGGAACTGATGAGGATTTGTGTTGCGCCAAGTAAGTCTCGAGTCGTTTTCGTAGGATTATTTCCGAACCGTACCTTAAACGGTTGAGTAATCTCATGAAGTACCTTGCGGGTTAACAGCTGCCATGGTTAGCTAGTCCAAATCATGGATACACCTGGAGATACATGACCTTATGAAGAAAATAAAGGAGGCTTCTCTCAAAATTGTTTTTTTGCAGATCTCTGGATCAGTTAATTAATTCAGCTGTATCTGGAGCTGAGAAAGACGGCTCCAGTCCTATAGAAATTCTGTGGATTGTCAAACTCCCAGGAGAACACACGCAATTGTTCTCCTCACTAATATTGCAACTTTAGCAGAAGGATAAATGCCCCACCTGCCAACGGTTCCATTGTCAGCGAACAAGAAATAAGAGTGGCGGTCATTCAGTTCAGCCAGTCGCGACTTGTTGAACTGATTTGTAGCATAATGTACTGAAACGTCCTGAAAATCAGTTCTCAACTACGATCTATCGGTGTTTACTCTTTGCAGTAAATCTCTAACCGTTCCAATGAAGCGATTCCTTCGTTTGAGCATGCCCCACGGTGCCACGCCAATTGCGATCACTTTGGTTCGAGATCGTGACGTTGAACCAAGGTCTGTAAAGCAGAAAACTAAGAATAGCATTGTTGAATAGTCGAAATGTTCTCGGTCAAGGTTATGGCCAGATAGTTATGATCAGGCTACTCTCTACGGTCGCTGTCATCCGATGGAGAAACATTAATGGCGTGTGGTTTTATACTAGAGAGGATAGTATCTTTTCCGCTGCCAGCGCTGGGGCGTGTCAGGAAGTAAAAGGGCCGAGTTTCGCGCGGCATTAGAACGTTTTCCGCTAATTATTGTCGCTTTCCTGGGCAGTGCCGCGCCGATCCCATCCTCTTCCCTGACCCAGCGTATGCTGCGAAAACTCATCTATTGATGGTTTCCACATGCGTGACATCTCTGAGTTGCTTCCTGGTCTTTCCCAGGTAGATGATTGTTGCAAGGATTACTGAGTCAGATCCATTGGGCCTTACTCAATGATGCGCTCTTCTGAGACCTTGAAGAGGAGATGTGCGCGAGAAAAACACGATGGCAGGCTGGACTATGCCCTCACAGTAAAAGACTACTTCTTTGGTCCATTATTCAATTAGCCGTTCACCGGTAGGCATGCAACTATTTTTTTCAATCGAGCTCGTTTTTTTTGGATGTATAACCTACTGACAAGCTCGTTTTTTTAGATGTATAACCTACTGACAAAGCAGAAAATAAGATTTACTGCAGCCTCACCCTCAAGAGCCGATGCGACATGTGGTACAACACCGGTGTTTAGCCCCGACGTGATTATCCAGGCATCGGTCGATCGAGCCGCTTTCAGTATTCCTTTGCGGAAGATTCGTGCCAATTTCGGTTGCAGACTGCAATGTAACAACCCGAAGTAGAAGTCTCGTTCACTGCGGATGATAAGGCGTGTCATGGGGGAGTAGGGTTTGGCACGACGTCAGCCTGTTCTCTCCTGCTCTCGACTAATTTTTGAAGAGAGCAAGCAACAACAGTTAAAGAAAAACGGGTTGACATCACGCCAATTTGACCCCTCTGATGTACCAGCATCCGCAGCGAACAAGACGGCATGCACTGAAGACTTTTAGGGATAGCGGCATAATATGACTAAATATGTACTTCTCAGACTCACTCAAAGTTCGTCAGCCCTCCATGAATTGTGATGACTAGTTTTGGTGGAGGTAATTTCCACACCACATGGAAAAGATGATTCAAAGCTGCTGGATCGGTGTCGAAGCTAGTTCTCACGTACTGTGCACGGGATTGATGGACACATCCTGAAATGATATGTCATCAAGGCGAACCCCGGCAGAGGTTTTCATTTGTACTCACTTTGTCAAGTGAAGCAGACACTGTCTGAGGTATGTCTGAGGTACATATGGTAGCGGAAGTAGCTGCCTGATTGGGCAATCATGGTAGGTACTTCCGCTACCATTCCTGCCCGGATACAAATTGGAATCTGTTGGTTACCTTCAAACACGATTGTTCCATAGGCGTCCGTGGGTGAAGTTGCGGTGTTTTTGCCAATTGTCCAACGTGGTCCATGTGCTTTTCTGTTGCCACCCTGGAATCGAATGTAGTAGCGTCTCGTTAGCATCACGGTAAAAGACTGGGGATCCCTACTGCATTCTGGCTTACCATATTGGAAACTGGTTGTATTCAAAGCACTTCGAGCAAATTTTCAACGGCTTGACACCTGGGACAAATTCTCATCGCAACTATGTTCACAGTCTTCGTATTCAGTGTATCCCCTCGCAGAAGGTACTCCGCCTCACATTGACTATCGAGCTTGATCCCTCTTCGATCTCAATCCCTTTTCAGTTTATCTCCTTCAGATGGCATTAGGTCCACCCCATAATCTGGAAGTTACACTCCTTATCCCTGAGCCAGAGTAGGCGTGGCATTTGAACATGGCACGGAACTGGTTACTCGTGGAATATTCCAGTCTGGGACAACTGTCATCTTGTTCTGTGTGGACAGAGACACGACAACAATTGTGTCAAGATGAAAATATCTCACCAGAAGCATAGAGACCTTCAGGTTTGAGCTCCTTTCCGGCTCTTTCCAGCATAGGAGCCTTCTAAGAACTCAAATGTAAAGTGGACGAAAAGTGGAATGTGTCACTGAGGGTGCTTTAGCGCCAAAAGCTTGAGCCAAGTCACCCCTAAACTTGCCCTAACCTCCTCTCTTCCTCTCATAAAGGAAAAGGAATCTTATAGAGCAACCAGCGGCCAGAACTCTTGTGGAGCCTTTTGATATTTCTACTAGAGCCATTTATTCAACGTCTCGTAGGACTTTTGGTTCAACCCAATAGTAATGGGCCGTTGCACCGCTTTCGCTAATGAGCAATAATCCTGTCCGTAGCTCATGAGGGGGCGGGTGCTAAAACCATTAAGAGTGAGGGCGTTACGTCCGCGTCGCTCAAGGGAGCATTGCAAGCGGGATTAACAACACAACATTCGCATCAGAACCAAATCCACCCAAAGTTGGAGTGCTGCAGCGCGTCGCCTCTTTCATTTCTCAGCATCTGCGTATCTCGAGTCGACTAGCTTTCTCTTGGTGTCTACGTCTGTCAAGTCAACTATCTAGAAAATACTGCTAGTATTGTAAAGTAAAGTTTCGACACCCGAAACCATCCGAGCCTTTAACCGTCGATGGTGATGGATGAAATCAACCCCTTCTAGCTTGAATGTCACAGGTTTTGATCCATAAGCACTATTACAGTGCCGCAGAGCATGGTGCGTCTCCATGTGGGTTGATGCGGGCCCCAGGCTGCGTACTTCCTATGTCGTGTTCTCCTCTTGAACATACGTCTCTGCCTTTCTTCTGTTGGACTCTCTCAGCCGCCGCCACCGGTCGTTCGCAGAAGTGGGCACTATCCTGCATCTATTACCTTCTCTTAAAATTGTTTGTGAAACTTGGACCACACATGATTATATTACTAGTAATAGTAAATTGATAGTAAACAAGCAGATACAAATACATAACCGTAGTAAACACGCAATAATATAGATAATAATATATGCAGCGCAGAACAATTGAAGATGAAAAGTAAGCTAAAAAAGGGAAGCCGGCGAAAGCGCCCACCTTGGATATCTCATGACCATCCGACTCATTGTTTGTCGTTTCGTCGTCACCTCCTGGTAGTAAAAGGAAGTTTTGTGGTTTGGCCACCTTCACAGCTTCCGGTGGATGCTGATCGAGGTTCATACCGCAGCCGCATCTCAAATGTAGAATGTTCAGTGGAAATATCAGTACGTTCCAAAACACAACATCTGATGCTTGAAATTTGTTTTCGGCAGCGAAAGAAGAAGCTCTGAGAGAAGCAGCAATCAATACAGTGGCAGTAATAACTGGTAAAAAAATTGAAAAGGAAAGTAGCCCGACCGCGAATTATTCTACTGCAGAAAGAAAAGCATTCCGATACTGGTGAAACGATAAAAGTATAAGAGGGGTTCTGAATGGAGTGGGGAAACTTGGTTAGTAGTCGAGGTGGTATTGCTTCGTGGGTCAAAGTCTATAGAGACCAATTGTACTTTTGACCAGTTTGCAGACCTAGTGCTGCAAACTGCCTATGTGCCCTCCAAACGGATGAAGGTGGGACTACAGAGTGGGATTCTAAGTCAAACTAATTGAAAGCATCTCTACAAACGGTCACCGGAACGGAAAGATCACGGAAAGGTCACGGAAAGAGCAAGGTCCACCAACTGAAGCGAACGGCTTCCTGTAGCGTTGGAATTAGCGACATTCTCATTGCGTGCTCTTTAATTGCTATAAATCTTTGAAAGCGGGAAATCAGCTGCTTCAAGTGCATACGGGCGGAGGTGATGTAGTGACAGTGGCACGCTTACATCGCACACAGGTCCGTAGTTCAAATCCCTGATCGGCTCCCGCCGTGGCCTTCTGTCCTTCGGGACGGTGAATTTGTACTGGATCCTTCCGAGAGGATGAAAATGCTGACTTGTGCATCGGCTGGCCCGCGACCCATTGCATAGACTAGATCGCAACCAAGGTTAATGCGCTTCTTAATGGAAGTAAGCTGCGTGGCACATCACGAAAAGAATTGCTCAACGGCCAAGGCTTCTTAGGCGCGGCTCGGTTTAACTTCATAGCCCCCTCGTACTCTTCCCCCTAGGAACCAGAGGATCACCAATGAGGATGGCAGAACGGTTGTCCTGACTCCGCCCACATACAGTCAATCCAAACAATAGGGCGTGTGGCGGGGCGTTTATTGGAGCGCTGACATGGCAACCTCTCCACCAATGATATCATTCATGAGTCTGCAAAGATTGGCAGGGAGGCTGTTCTGGCTGTGATCCAACTCGCGTCTCTCACACGCCCTATCGTATTCAGGGATCATGACTATGAATTAGTAAGGGTTGTGCCTCTGAATATCATATCATCTGCAAAAGAGGCAACACTGGGTGATATACTTAGCCCCTTCCTACTCCCCGGCGCTTTTTTCATTTCGTTCCTCAGCTGCCTTTCAGTCCTTTTATAGCGCTTGCACCAATGAAATAACAAGTACTTACCTGGTCGAGTACTTCTGAGATGGCACAAAAAGGCAGCACTCGCGTTTCTTCAATTTATGTTCAATCCATGAGTTTCCTCGCTAAAGTTCGTTATGAGTATTATGCGGAGACAAGTAGACAATCATAGATCAAATCAGTTGGAAAACTATTTCAAAATTTTTTCCCTTTTATAGGTAAGAAATTAACTCTGCTATGTAAGGCTGCGTTTATACTTTGCGGCAGCGTAGCGTAGCGCTTCCAGCGTACGCCAGCGGCAGTGCCGGGGAGAGGATGCATATCGATCTAGCGTTCCCAGCGTCACCAGCGTAACGCTAGCGTACGCTAGCGTTACGCTGGTGACGCTGGGAACGCTAGATCGATATCCATCCTCTCCCCGGCACTGCCGCTGGCGTACGCTGGAAGCGCTACGCTGCCGCAAAGTATAAACGCAGCCTAAACCCTATCCAACCGTGTCAGTCTAGCTAGCCTCAGCGTTCTG